CCGGAGGGAGAGGTTCGTCGAGGGGGTCTCCTCTCTTTTCTTCGTCCTCTTTCGCTCTCCTGTCATCAAGCGCGATGCACTTTGCCTATTTCCCTGGGGTGTACGCATAATGTCGCGGGATCGCAATCTGCTCGCGCCGTATTGGCCGAGCAAGGGGGGAATATTTATTTTTCAATCCTCCACGCGGAACCGGAACTCACGGGCGCCATAAAGGATATTAAAAATCATTCGAGAGCGAGCCAACGAGGACACCCGCCGCGCGCCTTCAAAGAGAGTTAAATTTCCTCGTATCGGCATCAACCTGCTCCGGTAACGCGTGACCTACTACGTTTTGTCCATTAAAAATATTGCAAATTTTCTGTTTACCGTTCCAAGGAACGGTCTCTGATTGCTTTCTGCGCGTTCTCGCTGAGCCTCGAATTTTCTCAGCCCTCGAATCGTATCTCGGGGGTTAGAGTTCGCCCTCGTGCCAGAGACCTACGTTTCAGTCTTTGTATTTTCCAATTTCTATGTGTGTAGCGGTTATTTGTATACCGTAACTTCAGATTCCCACTTTTTAAGGTATAACGATAACAATAGACTCAGGAAAAGTTTGTTCGCCCCAGTATACGGTAATTGGGGTGGCCGTGCACATGCGGTGAGGTTGTTTCGCATATTTCCCTCATAGTTAACGAATTATACACCTTCGAACGGCGAGTATCTTAATTAATTAAAATTAAACACGGACCATCTTCCTTCACTGTCTTCGCTACGCGAAGTATAATGTTCGTATACAAAAGCTGAAATTTTTCCTGGTTGATTCTAAGGGTTCTCATAAATGAGCCAACCGCTTCTTTGATTCAATTCGGAGTAAAAACGCGGAGGAAAAGGTCGTTCCGCGCGTTTTTTGGATTCCTGAGAGGACATTAATTTATGAAACTGAATACGTAAAAAGCAATCTTCATTCTACCCCTGCGATACCGTTAGATACCGAGGAAAACTCCATTTAATTAGTGTTTAATTTATTCCTGAAGGGGGATCGAAACGTAGAATGAATGATAAACGTTGTATTTGAGAAAGCAATTTTTTAATTGAATGCTAATTGAACTGGCAGTAATATATTGCGTGCAGAAGACACATAATTGATTTCTACACCTGATAGTTCCACCCCGAGCTTCACTTTCCCTGCTCCATTTTTCTACCATCCTCCCAAACATAAATCCTTTATGCTTGCAGTGTTGTTACCAAAATTTGTTAGACCTACATCCGAATGCAAAGGGATCCTAAAAGCCTCTTTTATAAATCAACGTTTATCAGAACATTTTACTAGGCCCAGAAACGTGCGATCGAAACGTTCAATAAAAATAATAAACCCCATCTCATCGTTTAAACATTATCGGTTTCCACCAAGTGCGAACTCACCCCGCGTACTTTCAACCCCGAAACGTTCCTCGTTAGCCTGGAGTGTCATTCATTAGTTCCTGAACACTTGTAACCGCCGACCCGGTACCCACAGGGATTATCGTTGTATTCGTTAAACGTGGAACGGTCGACGAAGGTTCGACTTATCGTCGCCGGCTGGTTAATCCCGAATCAAGACGTCGATGAAACGAAGGGGCTCGAGGAAGGGCCGCCATGGGGGACGCAGGACGCAAGGACAAAGGGGCGATCCGAAGGAGGGAATCTGGCGAGGATCTCCGAAGTCCTGGTGGATATTTACCTTGCGCAGGAGTTCCCGAACCGATGGTAAACTTGTTAGATGTGGGCGAGTAGCTGCGGACCTCTCTTAATCCTGGAAGATATCGCCCGGTATCCGCGGATTAAAATCCACACTTTAGTGGCTCCCCGTCGCGCAGATAGCGCCAATGTTGTCGTCGTTCCGAGGAAGAGGGGAGAGTTCGAATATAGCCCGACAGTTAAAGTCAACGCCAGGGGCCGAAGCCATTCCCAGACTAACTCGGGACCATCCCTTTCCGCAGCCACGATCTCGCCCCCTAAGCACTCATGCAAACGACCTCACGGCTGGGCTTGCGAATTAACTGGCCTCCCCCGTTGGAAAAATCTTCGACTTCGAATGAACCGAGGAAGCGGAGGAACCGACGACAAGTTCCTTAAATTGTCGGTGGTGGCGATCTATGGGACACTACGGGATTATCAACCCTCTGTTGTTCGTGGGAATGGGATATTCGATTATTAACGAAACTCTTGATGCGGAGATCTCGAGGGGCTTAAGAAATAAAGGTTTTGGAATTTTCTATGCATCTCTCTCTTCTACAATGTGTCTCTAGGCCAAACACCCCAATTTTCTAACGCTCTTTAAGTGAAAAAACTAATACCTACACTCTTCACGGTCCCGTGTATGGGTCAAATGTATGATTTAACGCGGCAATTAATTAAACGCCCCCAGACAGAACGTTCTAACCAAGGAGGGCCTCGAGTCGTGCGAAAAAGGTACAAAAGACGTCCAAGAAAGGTCGGAGGGGTAGAGTCGGAAACAACGAGACGGTTAAAACGCAATCTAGATGGACGAACATCGTGAATAACAACGACGCGCAGGAGCTAATCTAAGCGCGTTTCCATCGGAGATCAGACTTGCAATTTTAAGTGTCGCGGCGATGTTGTGTCGGGGGGCCTGATTAAATTGCGATTCCGGGCACCGTACACCATCGTGAATAACAATGAAAGCCGGCGACGCGAACCCACCCCCCAACAACCCATGCACCAAGCCTGTTTTCCCCGATGCCTTTTCCCGCAACGAGAATTTCACCGTTCGATAGACGCGCGCGCTACGCTTTTTCTCGCTTTATGATTTCTGACCCATTACCGGGGCGCATACCTGACTCTTATAATGCTCGTATATCATTCGAGCCGTTTTATCATCGCCATAACCGGCAGCTTTTTCCAATAAAAATATGCACCTAGCCACCGGGAGCCGCGGCGTATTATTCGAGGGAGATATGTAAATCCGTGATATAATACGGAGTCTATCCACGGAACGTTCCTTCGAATGGAACTCGATACGATATAACCGATATATACAACCCGCCGCGAACCATTTATTTTCGATAAACGCTGCTTTCGCGAAGCACGTACATCGGCGGGAGCGGGGGCCGACCGGTTAAGGAGATCGGAGTTGCGCCGACCCCGAACCCTTATTTATTAGCTCGGTGCACGTGAAACCCTGTTCGGCCACGGTTTGGATGTTGCGGGGCGATAACGCGTGCGAAATTATGCGACAAACTAGCAAAAAGAGTCGCGGATGGTTATTATCCGACACCATCATTGTCCGGATAGAAAACAATAATTCAAACGAAGAATATTGCATCTCACCGCGCAGGTGGATTTATTTCCAAACAATCTGATCTATTTTTCCACAGCGTGAAAGTTCCATTACCGCTGACTAAAGAGTAAATCCTGTATTTTTTATTAACACGAACAAGCGTTACACGCGTATCCAACCCGTATCCCTTTTCATGCGTGGATACTGTCAACGGTCGTTTGTTCGTACCGCAAATTTTTATAAATGCATTATTTTTTCGTGCTTCCATTTGTTTATTCGCAGCGCACCCAGTCCTCCAAAGAGAACTGAAAACGTTACAAATACATCAAGCTCGCTCAACGGCTACAATGAGCTTTCATAATATCATTTAACATGTTTTATCTGACGCCGCGAATAATCGGGAACGTTTGCGCGACTCTTTCGGCCGAGCGTGTTCAAAAGCAATTCACCGCTCCATGCAGTCCCAATTTTTAAATCCGAGCCTCGACAAAACCGTAGTCATCGTTGGAGTGCCAGCTTTTAATATACCCCAGTCGCTTTGATCCATTCTCTCGTTTGTGTGCCGCGCTACAGGGCGTTACACTCGAAACGTACCGCGTAATTACCTGCTTTAAATGTAACGACGCGGAAAAATGTTTCGCACGTCGTTCGAATGGTTTGTGCGAATGTGAACACGGTGCAGACACGACTTTCTAATACCGATCCCGTGTAGAAGTCCGAACGAAGTTCGAAAAGAAATATGGTTAGATACGATACTTTATGATTTGGGGGTTTTCGTATTTAGTGTAAATCGAATTTTAATCCTTGCACCACTTATAAATATTCTATTGTTAAGCTTACAGAAAATTGATTATCTTACTTATTCGATCCGATCAACTTATTATTATCATTATTATTAAAAGAAAGCTGGACTGGTCGCATCCCTATTTTAGCAACTTACAGCAGTCAATTTTGTTTCGATATCGTTATACACCACCCACTGATGCAACCAATTAATAACTAACTAACCAAAATACCTGTTTCCTTCTTTTGCGATTAACGTCGACCAATTCGCGGCGCTCTTTCCGCGCCGGATGCAATTGATATTTATCAATCCCCGGAGCATCGGGAAACTATAACGCGCGGCAGTTATCGGAGCGACCAACCCCGAAGTCCGAGGGTTTTTTGTCTGGAGAGTACCGCATCGAAAACTCTGGGGCATCGACTAATTTAAAAGTTCCCAGGAACTCATCTACCCTTTAGTGGCTTCGGCGAGGCTCGCCCCAACCCCGTGTATACGATCCCCCTGTCCACTCGTGTTTCCAATCCCCACCGCAACCCCTACGGGCATCTATTTCTCCTTTGGTTTCGCGAGGAACAGTCGGACGTCTTTCTCAGCCGCTGGAAACCACTTTCCGCAAGTCGTTACGCTCGCGCTATCCGCGATTTGCTCTGATTTCGCAGCCACCCCCCACTCACCCCCTTAAAGAATGTTTTCGGTATCCCTGTTTCGTAAATCTTCCTTCCCAGGACTCTCTATTAAGACGGGAATGATCATTTTTCAGTCCTAAGCAAGTTTTCACTTACGATCTGAAATTTCTATTTGACGAATGTTTCTATCGAGATCAATGTATAATCTATAGACCAGGAAATTGTGATTTATTTGCAAGCTCGTGATTACTCGTCGAAGAATTACCAGCTGCAAATTTGAGAGAAGAGGGAGTTTTCTGTGCTCCTAACGGTTCGTTAATTTACTTTGCAGGCAAGCCGGAGCCTATGGTCCGGTGGCTCGTCAACGGCCAGGTCAAAGACGAGGAATACGAAAAGAACGCTGGCGACGTCATAGAAAACAGGTACGCTTTTATTCCCCGTCCCCTCGATTTTCTACCGTCGCACCGAAACCTCGAACAGTCTAATTATTCCGTATCGACGAATTCAATTTTTGTTTGTTATATTTTTTTCAACGGAGAAATTGTTTATGGAAAAATAATATTTAACTGGTTAAACTGCAGTACATAGTGCACGCATGCACCAATTTTCATTGCGATGTTGATTATTCCTTCATGGGAACAAAAATTGTAACCGATCGGGACGACTTGGGTAGCATGTCTGACCAAAACTCGATGTTTCTACGCGCGACTCCTTAAGTAAGTATCGAGTTTAGTTCAGCCGTACCTCGTTGTCATGAAAATTACATTTTTAGAACCAGTTACTACCAAACAAATACAACTAAATTGTTGTAACCGCAACAATTGTACACCGCAAGTAGAAGTGGCGAGCAATGGTCAGACGCATTAGCCAAGTCTCGCTAAATTGCACGCATACCATGTGCCCTATTCTTTAATGAGTTTAGTTTCGTGCATTTGCAAGGAAAATGTATAGTCTAAGACATCTGCGTGCCAGGGACACGTTCCCTTGCAACCCTTCCACCCTCTACTTCAGGGTATGCCCGGAGTGACCTACAGTCACTCGATCAAGTAGGAAAATACAAATTCTTCTTGCTCTACGAAGCATGTACAAAAAGGCCGTACAGCAGTATCACAGTAACAATCAATCATAGTCAACTACACGAGGAACATTCTCTTAATCAATTTAACTCAACTTTGTTCCCAGCTACAGGGCGCAATAAGGTGTTGCAAATACAGCGATAGATTACAAACGAAACTTCTTTATTTCGCTTCCTATCCATCTTAATCTCCTACGCCATTAATTTGTCGCGGGAGGCCAAAACATAGGGCTAATGTCCGATGCTGACTTTGTCAAAAACGAAGCACCTTAGACTGAAACACGGACTTTAATTCTGTTTGCAGGTTAACTCTGCAGTCAGTGGGTCGTTCGGATCTAGGCTTGAATTTCACTTGCCAGGCGCAAAACACGGACCTGATCGAACCAAAGGAGTCCTCGATCTCCCTGGACCTTAACCGTGAGTATCAATCATCGTAGTTCGGGTAAATCGTTCAATTCCGGGGAGGGGTTGCGAACACACGGTCGCTATAGGCGATGGGTGGAGACGCCCGTTAAAAGAGGAATGAAATAAAGACAAGAAGTAGATACAAATTCTTATCGCGTGGCTAACAAATCAGAAGCCTCACCCCGAGAGCCTATCTTGTCCCGCGTTAACGATAAGATCTACGAGACAGCGAAAGTGGGCCAACATCCTTTGCTCCCTTGCCGCTGTGAATCGCCTTTAAGGGAAGATAAGGCTAGATAAGACGAGAAATATATTAAATCCTGCCTCGAGCCCCACCCGGCTCATCCATCCAGGGCGACCTCGACGCTCGAAGAAGCCGAAGGAGCCATGAAAGCGGACCAATCTCGAGCTTTCTCAAAATTAGAATTCTTCGTTAACTCACGACCAACCCCACCGTAAACCGTGACGACGAAACGCTAATTTCGCGAGTAAACTGAAAAATTCATAGATCAATTATTCGCCCTAGCAGCATTCGCTGTGGCTCCAAAGTAACGACCAAATGGGAGGGAAACTCGGATGAGACGCCGATGCCTAAAGGAAATCTCGTTTCGACGCGCCACATTCGCCACCCATTACCTTCGGTTACGGGAACCACAAGATTTTCGACAAAATTTTCAGACTTTCGAACCGCGAGATTTTCGACTAAATTTCGTGATACATGTCGAATGTACAATTTCGAATTTCTTCAATAGACATATAGAGCACGAATATTTATGGGATTGACTGTATATTTCTCGATATTAATCTAGATTAATACTTTCTATATTGATCGATAGTAAGTCCATCGTTCGAAATCACGGTTGCTACACACCCAAGACCACCCAAAATTATTCAGTATTTTCCCCACGATTCCAGAAGGTTTCAAAAACACGAAAATCCAACAATCGTAGATCCGTTAGCGGTATCATCGATTTCTCGGAAATATTTACCGTCTACCCGTTGATTTTTCCACGTCCCCTACCTCTGCCCTGCCGTCCGCGAGGTCCCGAAAAACTCGCGTTTTCGCGAAAAAGAAAACAGAGACCCGACAGATCGACCGACCGACGTGGTCGTGATTGATCGGCGCTGAATTATCGGTGCTTCCGAAAGTCACGAAATTTTCGACGAAGCGGACAACGAAATTGAAGGCCCGTTATTGGCGAACGAGAACACACCCATCATAGCGGTGAACGAAAAAAAAAAAAAAAAAAGCCCTGGCGCTTCGCGCCGGAGAGATAACGAAACGGGCATCGAAAGAGGAAAAGGGGTGGATCGTGGGCGGGAGAGGGATGAGAGGGTGTGCGCGAACAGCAGAGGAGCAGAGAGCGAGCGGGACAGAGGAAACGAAGAGAGAGGAGAGAGATTGATCGATGCTCGCTCTTTGATTTTCGCGACCTGGACCAAGTGACCATGCATCCAGCGTGTATTCATCTCATGGCTGGCGGGACAAAAAACGAAAGAGAAATTAAAAAAGCCCTGAGCGGTGACGGAGCGAACCGCTGGCTGGAGGATCGACGAGATTGCGGATATTCGAAAAGGCCTGGTGATTCTGGAAATCCGGAATATCAAATATTTGCACCCACGCGAGCCGTTTGTTCAGAAACTTGTAATGCCATGCGCCTGCAATGCGACCATTGGATAGAATACTATACACGCGAGGAGAGAATCCAACTAGAGACCATCGCGCCGAGTAACAGTGTTAGTCTAAGGAGGTGGTTAACCTCGAAGGTCATTAAGTTGCTACACTGAGTTGGGTAAAATAGTCAGAAGGAAGGATGAAGTCTACAAATATATTAAATGTTTGATTCGAATTTCTTGAGAAATAGCCAACTGATTCACCTAAATCAAACCTAAGCTGCACGATAGTGTCAAGAAGGGTGGCTAGGTCGCAACTAACGAGAAAAAATCAGCGACAACTCGAGAGCACAACCTGAACGATCACGCTCGTTAACATAGAATCGAAAAGTAATTTTCGTAACGAGGTCGCGAGACGGCAGCGGACCGGAAGGAGTCGGGGACGTTGAAAGAACGGTCGAGAAAAATATCGAAACTCATTATCGACGACGCGAGCCGGGAGGCGAAACGGCGCGCACGAGCGCCAAAACGTGTCCTCGTAGTTTTCATATTTCACGGGCGAACGGATCCGTATCTGGCTTCGGTATTGGCCAATTGGAAACGCGGATTTATCGTCCGTCAAAGCGATCGTCGCCTGGTCGGCGAATACTGGGGATATAGTATCGTTCCACGCGTTTACACGCCCGCGGAAAAATCAATGTTTAGCTCTATGGGACGATCGTTATCACGCAGAAGCTCGAAAAGAAATCGACCGAACGGATAGATCACATCCAAATAGAAAGAGAGAATTGGATGGACAAGAAGAGGGAGAAGTTGCGTTCATTACCGAGTCGAAATAACAGTTCAAAGTTGACTAATGTTTGCCGACCCATATACTTTAACCCTCTGCACTCGATACAAAAGAAATAACAGCGAGAATAAAAATAAAGAAACAGACGTGAGTAAAAAATGAAAAGGAGAGCACACTACACAGACCATCTTGTTTTGAACGAGCTCGGAGTGGTAGCTAATCCGAGCTCCCGAGGCAAGGTGTTTCAGAGGACCCCCTTAAAGAGCTCTGTGAGGCTTCCTACGCGGAAAGAAGGTGTGAGCAAGAACAGGTGGGTCCGACTAACCTCTCGGGTCGTAAAGCAAGGTGCTGCTGTAAATACGATGGCACCCCTTGATTAAGTATGGTGAAAACGGCTCAGCCCGAGAAGTATCGCCTCCTGGTATCGACCTTAAGCCATCTAAGTCGCCCGAAGTAGGGATGTGATGTGCTCAGTTCAGCTAACGCCTGGAGTGAAGCGAACGCAACAGTTTAGGGGCTTCTGCAACCTGGCGTTTAGCAGGTCAGTTAGGTCACCATACACCAGACACCTATAATCAATTATAGGGAGAATAGGGACGCTAACCAGATGCGCGCACCTAACAATTCCCTATAGGGAGACAATCACGGCTGGACCTTCGGTCTAGACGAAGCAGCATCGATCTTAAAGGCGACAGAGTTCACATGCTCTCCCAGAAATTTGGTGTTATTAAATACGAATAAAAGAGCCAGGGAGGAATAGTAATATCGCGTGACAATTACTGTCGTATCTGATATAATAGATGCAGTTACGTTTCAGATTGCTCGCAACCGTCGAGCTACAAATGTATTTACCTATGGCAGCTGTGCCACGTCGATGATCGAGGCGTCGTTTAAGCGGTAAACAACGATTAACGGCGATGTCATTTGCTCGATGTCGGCGAATAATCTACAACCCAATTTCGATGATCGAAACAGGGAAACAATGCCAGCAAATCGCTCGCCCCCATTTTTGCGTTCAACTGCTCGCGTAACGCGGGAGCAAGTCCGAAAATGACAAATGACTGACAATCGAACCGACCGCTCGCGAGGATTTTAAAACGTTAAATCGACTGGACGATTTGCATCGAACTCACGTACCGACCCCACCGCCCACCATCGGGCTCATTTATCCGCCTTAATTATCGGTTCGCTTTAATTATCGCGCCCGATTAGCGTCGTCGGTCCGCGCGATTGCGGGACTCGTTGATTCGAACAAAAAAAAAAAACGAGGACGACCAGTACATTCTGTCGTTCGACAACGACAGATCATTCCGGTGCCGCGATCGATTAATCGTTGGTTGGTTTGATTTACAGTGAAACCCCTAACGGTGATCATAAGGAGGCCAGGGAAGAAGGGAGTAGGCGACGAGTCGCTGCTCGCTGGAAAACGATACGAGGTGGAATGCGAGACCACGGGCTCTAGGCCTCCAGCTGTGATCACCTGGTACAAAGGAAGGAGAAGACAGCTGAAGCACACCACGGTGAGAACAGGAAATTAGAAATATAGAGTCGTTCATGAAATTATTTAGGGTACTCGGAAGAGGAGCCTTTGAGATTGAATAAGTCGAGAAAAGATACACGAGTGACGTATCTCTTTTTAGTACCTCGAATAATTTAATCAGCGAATATTCAATCACCTGTGTTTGTTTATCAAATGAAATCTTGATCGAAGGTGCTAGACATCTAATCACACTATCTAACATATAAAATTGGTATCTAATGTGAAAACTGTCCCTATGACGGTATTCAATCCCTCCAAAAAAAGAAAAAGGGGTGGGGGGAAAGTGCTGAAGAATAAAGAAACTCTTTTTTCAAATAGAAAATCCACACACACACTAACGGAGAACAGAAATCATGAATAAAAATTTTGCATACAAATCGACTTTCTGGGGGGGAGGAGAGAGACAGGGAGAGAATATAAAAATATTGTTGTACCCTAAAAATAATGCATATTCATGTACCCCAAAGCACAAGCTTTTCGAACGCGCAGCGCGGCTGCAATTAATTTTTAAAGAACCCACGACTATTTTCACCCCGTCCACGTGTACAGGACGGTTTAACGCGTGCACCAGCGCGTTTCGTCGATATTTGTCTCCGTAGGTGAACTCGATTTCCCGGCGATCGCTTTACAGCAGGCTCGTTAGCGCGATATATCGACAAGCTGCTAACTTACTAGCACCGCGGACGGCCGAAAATATTCACCGACATCCGCACGGGGAGCAAGTGACAGACTATTATTCGGGCAACTGGAGCCCGATAATCCGCTCGCTATCGCTTCCTAATTATTGGCGCATCACCTTAACGAAATTTGTCGTGTCGTCGCTGGACGAACAAAAGGCAACGCGGCATTTAATTAACAGCTAAGCTGCTTATTATAGCCGACGCGCGTTGGGCTTCCCTGGCTCGTTAATTAACCCAGGGAGGTGCAGAAGAGGGGAGGTCCTCGAGGTCTGAACGCAGCTACGATGAAATACGGTAACGCGTCCTGACACCGAGCTATTTCAATTTCACTTCCTTTAAATTTAAATCGGACTGTCCGTCCCCCTTTCGTTAAATTACACCTCGCTACATCCGCGTTCGCTTAATGTTCTCCGTCAGGCATCAAATAGTCCGCAGCCAGGTCCCGATCAGCAACGAACACGACGAATTTCCTGTTCGAGCACGAAATTACACGATGTCTCTACCAATTCGGTATCCGATCTGTTGCGGAGGTGGAGTGGAAACGATTGTTTTACACGTGCACCCGTTCCGCGTTACCGTGGGGGGGAGGCGGCTCGATCCGATACTCGCCAACGATTCCACGGTCCTAGCGATTGAAAAACGTTCCAGCCCGCTAACGAGCCTCATCGATCCTTAACGAGGAGTTTGCGACGGTTACGCGATGAGACGCGGAGTGTTCTCGTCGACACGGTACCTGAATCGCGACTGGCTCCATTTTCCAGCGCAAGAAGAGGGGTGAATTGGCGATGCAGTGCCCAGAAATTTGGATATGGGGACAGAGGCAAGTAACGATTCAGCCGTTCATTGCACGAATCGATTAACTTCGTAAAACAAAAAGTTGATTCAATGGCCAACAAAATTTTGTCGTTTAATGGTGTTAATCTTTATTATTCAGGAAAGTTATTATAAATATAAAAATGTATGACTATACCAAGTGCTTTGACATTTAAATTTAAGATTCTTCAAAAAGTGAAGTTAATCGATTTGTGCAGCGAACGTCTTAATTAGCCAGAAGTGGAGCAGAATATTTCTGGGCACTGGTACAGGTATCATATGTATGCTAGTTTCTTTTAGTGGTCCCATTGCTCAAACAGAATTGCAAATGTAGAAACCGTGAATGAATGAAGATTGATGAAGAGACCGCGAGTTACAAAAAGGAGAGTAAAAATAATAGTAATAAGGTAGAAGCTATACACGGTAAGATAGAGGAAAATAAAAATGACCAGCACGCGAGCACTCGGGGCCAAGCGCACAGACTCGCATGCAACCGCGGAATACATAAAAGATGCAGATTATGATACGGTGAAAAAAGGAAGCCGCGTGCACTCGGTCGCATAGCGCTCATAGCGTTTGGTATGCGAGCCAAATAATATTCAAAAATATCCTCCGATGTACTCTTAATCCATGCACTCAACATTCGTGTCAGAGATTCATCATGGTAAGAAAAAAAACTCAAGTTCATATCTGTCGAATGGGGGTGTTCGTCCTTAATCTAGTCTGAAGGAACCCCACCAGGAAGAGAGAAAGAGAGTGAACTATCTCGAAAGAGGTTCTGCAGAGAGACTCGACGCTGAAAGAAAGAAGGAAGTGGCACCGAGAGGGTGGAGGGGTTGAAAAGGTCGAAACGCTCCAGGGAACCGATAACTGTACCCCTCGGCGGCGAATCTTTCCCTTGGGAGAGGTTCACGGCACAGAAACAGATTCAAAGCTCTGGATAGACGAAGACGAGGAACGAAGACGTCGGACAAGCAGAACGGGTCCGCGAGCGAGGAACGAGAAGGAGAAAGAAGCGAGGATTGGTACTCTTCTCGAACGGATTGGATTCGCCTGGTTCGACTCGCATCCGATTGTGCGAGCACGAAGAGGAGGGAGGTGAAAGCACCGTGGGGGGTTGGAGGTGGTTGAAAGATACGATCGGAGGTGCTTGCCAGCCGCGCCGATTGAATTAAGCAGCCACACCTGTCGACTCCAGATATTTTCATTGGCCGCATGCTAATTGCCAATTAAGCCACGACGATTTAACCGATCCACGGCGAACGTTCCCCCCGCTACGACCCTCCTTTGTTTTCGGCGTCCAAACACGGCCCGACACGCTGAATCGCGGGTTACTGCTCGCGGCAAAGTTAAGGCGATCGCTACCGTGGTCACCTGGTGACCTCCTTCAACTGACAACGTGTTTTGGAATCGTTAACAAACCCTAAGGTTTTGGGGAAATTTAACCCTTTGCACTCTGCGCAATCTCGTTGCAAAATATGTGAACAGAAATCGTGTTACATAAAATAGTCTAACTTTGAACGATACGACGTACGAATGTACAGGTTGATACTATTTTTATCGATTTTAAGAAGGTATTTCCACCTTTCTTGTTTGTAAAGTTATGTAACTGATAGCAATCACAGGTTGTCAAGGTCAGAGATTCTCATTTAACCCCTACTTTGATAACATGAATCATTTCCCAAGGGTCTCGCCTGGAACCCTTGCCAAAGTTATATCGAGTATTAACTTATAATTGACTCTAGCATATAGTTCCAAACAAACCTTGAGAAATATATATCGTGTATTCACATGTTCTACAATTAATATTGTTTCTATAGTTAATAATATTTCTATCTCCGAACGAGTAACTCCATAGAAATCGATAATTAATAATACTCGTTCCTGTATCTGTTTAATTTGCGAATGAATCGAAATGTGACACGAAAGTAAACTAAAATAGGGAGGAAATATTCATAAATAAATTTTCCAGAGATAGATACGAGGCGAACTCGTCGCCCAGTTGATAGATGTAGTATCAGTATGAATTTTTACGTATTTCGAATAATTCGTCCCTGAAGGGGTTAATTTCGCTATTCGTTGAAACGTGACGCGAAAGGGGATATAAAAAAAAAAAAATGTTTTCCCGAGCGTGGCCAACAGCGCGCGCGAACCGTGTCTCTTCCAGCTTCGCTATTAATTAGTATCGTATGTATCTAGTTTTTCTACTATGCTATACACATTTTTCCGTCGCAAATGACCGTTTCGACGAACTCTCGAAAACTTTTCGACTATCGCTTCCCGCGAAATTGCGCGATCATAGCGATCGTTAAATCACCGATGCGTCGAAACGTTATCCGTCGCGAGAATCGAATTGTTAAAAGTTAGACCGAACGAAACAATCGAAAGTGCGTCCAAGGGCACACTTGCACGTTTTCGGATTGGATTCGAGCAGAAACAAATCTGCAGGGGTAGTTGCTGAAATTACAATGCCGGCAGACGTCATTGTCCCGGCTCGGAACGGATAGGTGTTCTTAAGGAGGATTTATCGAACTCCACGGAAAGTTCGAACCGTCGAGTAACGAGCGCCACGCGAATTCGTTCGAAGGACCATGAAAATCATACCTGGAGTTTCCGGTATTTTGGAGGATGCAGGATCCGTCCAGGAACAGGAAGCATCGATTCCAAGTTGCGGCATTCGACGTTTCCAATAATGCAACTACCAGGAGCACTGCTATTGGCCTCGAAATGAACCTGCCAAGGTACACGCGGCAAACGGAGCGCTGGAAGCCCTTTATCCTCGGCGGTGGTGCTGCTGCAACCTATAGAAATATATTCTTATTAGTGGGGAGACAAGGCTGATGAGATAAAAAAAATTGTTCAGATAATAGAAGCTTACACGGTCGAGAATAGATTATTTCGTGTTCTAGGTGCAGTATAAATATCAATTTAAAAAAGGAGCTAATATAGGAGGATAATTTTATAATTAAATTACCTGTCCTAAGACTTTTTATACCGCAACGAGACAATGCATATTAAGGAATCGCAATTTGAAACTTTCCAACTTTTTCCCAAGTGTACCTGCCTGATGTTTTGCAAGTAAACTTATTGTTTACTTCAGCCAATAACATCGACGCCAAGAATTCTAACTGCGGAAAAGCAAGGAAAAAGACCCTGTCGCGTATTCCAGCGGCTCTGACAGCTACCATAACTACGAGTTTTCATCCAAGTTCGCGATGCGTTACGAAGTTAGAAGCCCTTTTAGGTCGTTCCAAGAGCGGACTAGTAGCGCAAAAATCGGCGTCTAGGACGATGCGAGTATTCGAAGCTCACCGATAATGTATGTGCCACCGAGAGAGCATTTCCGTTCGCTGGCTGGCTGAAACACCCGGCTAAGCCGCGTGCAAACATTTTCCAGAAACAGTCTCTGCTTTTCGCCTCTCGAAGCCGCAGCCAGCGACGTTTTTCTGTTTCTATGCCGCTATAACTCATCCGACATAAATAACGGCTTTGGTATCGCGAGAAATGGTCTCGAAAAATGAATATTCTATGCGATGAGGAACATCAAACGATACAATAAACAAGTGACCAACTGTGAGCCCCGAGCAAGCTAGTTTTAATTACATATAGACTCGTGGACATTGAGTTCTTTTGAAGAGTACACGTATAATTATTTTTGCGCGAACCTGGGCAGCCTTTTCATACATTTTTCCTTGCTTTTAAACCGAGATAAGTTAATAATTTCAACAGGCTCCACTTTATCAGTTTTGTATGGAAAACTACACTCAGATATGATAATCGTGTTTTCATTATTAATTTTTTTCTTTCCCGTTGAAACGCCCCTAGCAAGAGGCGCCACGATGCGGTGCATCCTTTGCTTCCGCGTAAAGCCTGCCCCGGTTTCAAAAGTTAATTAAAAATAAACAGATCCATATGTACTTCTCTTTGTAAAGTAAAACTGAAGAAAGGAAAACTCTGTTTAACATTTAGGTGTATATTCGCGCGCGAAATGAGTATACGTATATTGCAATACTAAACAAAAAGAGGGTCACGTATGAACCAGTGTGAATACAAGAGTTCCCAGGTAAAAAATATTTGTCAACCCTTCAGTTTTCAATCTATAATTATCAACAATGTTCTGCTCCCGTTTACGAGATAAAAACGATAAATAAACAATTCTAAGTTCAAAGTAAGTCATAATTATAGATTATTTTCCTCTTCGTGCTTGTAATTGCGAACAGCAACGCAGCCGTTGCGTGTGTCGCGGCCTCGCACTCGGTAAAGCGTGAATTTGTACTATAACTCAATGGTAATTATATGTTGTTTCTAATAATTACATCTTGAAAACTATAACGGGGCGACAATTATTTTTCGCTCCAGACCATTCATTGACATGTCCCTTTACGGCACGCGTCAATTAAAAGCTTCCCAAGGACGATATACTTAATCGCCAAAGAAGGATTACGAAAGTAAAATTAATTCACCATTTTTAAGTACAACAGAATCGATTTTCCGGGCGATAGATTCAGAATCGAAGCTTGCTAGTAATCCCCCCTTTTCATGCCCCCTGTCCAAGATAATCCACGTTCAAGCGAACGAGCAGATACGCATGGACCTAAATCATGATGGTTAGGCGCGAGGGGTCCCGAGGCGTTTCGCATTATCGATAATCTGAAATCACAGATGTAACTTGCGGCGCTCGCTTGTACGCCGAGCGTCGAGCTGCCGTTGTCTCCAGCACGTTGACGCGCGGCCCTAATTAATTTCACGTAGTTCATTAACAAGCTCTAGCCGCAACGCTTAACGACGCCTTGCCTCGCCCCGCCAAGCCTGTATCCGTGCTTAACACGGAGACCAAAACTCCGTTGCTCACACTGATTAACAGAGTAAACGACAGCCCACCGATGGAAACGCGACTGTACTCTAATTCGAGCAAAACAACCCATGCTACCAGCACGGATGGCCGCAATTTAATTACGATAAAGACGAATAAAAACTGTATACACTGATATATTCGCACAGGAGATGACTACGTACTCGTAAATTGGAATTAGTGAACCACGATCACGTTGTGTTGCTCGAAGATTGAAAAAAAGAGGATATTCGAAGCTTCTATTAATTCGACAGTGAAATATAATACGGTTATATCATTGTACGAAATGTTTTCTCTAAAATTTAAATTTTGCACACTTTAGGCGACAAGAATTCGACCGATAGACCCTGTCGCGAACTTTTACGCGACGAAATTAAAATTTTTTGATGAGAATTGACCGCTCGGATACGTGTAAAGATTCGGCGACGGACAGGGACGCCTTGTCGAGCATCGAATGTTCGAGAAATTGGAATATTTTAATAAATTCTAAGACACTTACCCTACTCTCAAACACATTCACGATATCATGATTGTCAACGATCGTGAAAAATCATCTTCCGGATCACGGTCGTGATCGAAGTTTAATCACGACTGCGATCGTGATTATGTGGTCACCACGAAAAATCACTAACAATGATTATCACGCAATCCCTAATTATAATACGACAAAATGTGCACGTGTCGTGGCCGGTGTTCTGACTCGCCGCCATCTTGCTCTCGAATGCTGCGCAGTCGCTCCCTCTCCACTGGAACGCTGACCGTTCGGGCTGCCGAGCTTACACGAAGGGAAGCGGAGCGAACCGATCGCGCCATTCTGGACCCAGTTCAAATTTAAATATTGCGCAAACCCTGAGATTACTTTAATTAAATTAACTATTGGCGATGATTTTAGTAGAAAAAAATTATGACGTAGTCTACGTACGATTAATCATTCTTCGCTAGATTGAAATTGGTTTAAGAAATACATAACTGACTGTACAAAATTAACGTTTATCTTAGAGTATCGAGTTTCTGCTTACCACCTGTAACTGTATATGTTATAACTATGTTATAATTGACATCGTCCCATGTTTCTGAAACCAATTCGAAATCAGCAAACCGTTGACTGTAGCCCTCCCCAGCTATGCACGGTCCGCGTCGCATCTCAATTTCAACAAATTCCCTGGCGATCGAGGGCAGAAAGTGATCGATCTGGCGTGGAATGACTGAAAATCGTTTCTACTAAATTCCGAATCGCGAAGTCGGAGTAGTTAAGCTCGTTAAGAGCTTGCACGCCCCAGAGGTACAATTCAAAGGATTTCCTTCGACGACAGAGACCGAGAGGTAAGAAGGGACAGCTTGCGCTGTTAAAGGGGCTAAAAGGTCCGACGATAAGGGCGCGGAGGTGGCTCGTTTTCGCGGTGACGAGGAAGGTGGCGACGTGCCTCCTTAAAATTCCTGCTGGTTGCGGCTTCTAAGCGACGCATAATAAAATATAGCCTCTAAGCGAGGATTTGCGCGTTGTACGAGCGACGGTAAGAGGAACGGACGATCTCTGCTCCAGAGATTCTCGGAAAGAAACGGGTCGGTGGCTGGGGCCAAAGGTCGAACGGAGCCAAGGACAGATATTAACGTAAGCAGATCCTACGAGCGACGGAACACGTAGACCGCTTCTATCGCATTACCATCCTGATTATCCTATATAGTCATCCGGGCTGTCTTTAGACGTTCACCGCGCGCTCCGTATTACATGGCTTCAGCAGGAGATGGTTTCGTTAGCTGCGCAAAAGCTCCGAGAAAACTGCGATAGAACCCCGTATAATCGCTCGGTATATTATCTTTATTCCCTGTACGCCGGAGCATCGGTGCACTTAAGAGAGTATAAATATTTCTAAATGAAATTCCCCAACGACTTTGCGCCTTTCTTCCCGTTTGTTTGTTTGTATGTTTGTTTTTTCTGTCCCCCACCCTGTTTTACTACATTGCAGTCGTCGCGAGAACGTTTAAAAATTAGTGAAACCCGAGTAAGTGTAATTTCAGCGGTCAGGTAATGTCGACGCCTTCGTTACGGTAGGTTTCAGCAGACAAAGATTGCGTTGGCAGACTTCGATTAGAGTTCCGAGAAAATTCTAGTAAAAATATTATTGACGAAGGCATTAGAATGAAGACAATGGGGCTACTTACTTATCTATTTTGAATAGAGTCGTATCTTGAAATCAATGATGTTTGCATGCGGAAATCTTCTCTTTCGTTGGAAAATCGCGTGTCTGTCGAGAATAGACGGTGCACGAAGGAAAAGCAGACGTGTGAGAACACGTCCAGCGGGAGAAAAGTTTCGGTTTCTCCCTGTTGGCGCTCGTTTCGCGTCGAACGTATCGGTTGACGCGCTTTGAAACTGAATTCCCGGGTCGAAGTAGCGACTGCTCTTTTTCCCCTGGGCAGGTGGAAAGATAAATAAAAAAGAAAAAAAAAGATAACAGCTCGCCGAGAGTCTCGCCGAGCGGCGTCAGAAGCTACGAGCAAAATTCACGCTCGGTGGAATCGGGCAGCGCTCTCCAGAAAGGATTCCGCGGCGTTAGCAGGACTCGGGGTCCGTTCGAGTCCGAGGCTAGCAGGAATGAGTTTCCAGCAGATGTTGCCGGCGTTGCTTACGGTTCGCCTCTCGACCTTAATATAACCAAAATTAACCATACCGAGTGCCGTCGAACTCGTTTCCCGGTTTTCTTTCTTTTCGTTTTCCTCTACTTTGCCCCTCTCTACCGGTTCTCGTTTCTCGCCATCTTGCACCGCGGAATTGGACCGCTGAAAACGGAACCTCGCGATACACCGCGGAATTATTTTCGAAAGTTACGTTCGGTCGAGCGAAAGGGTCCGAGGGAACGATTCGAAAACTTGTTTAAGGCCCCCTGACTTTCGAGCCCGATTCAGTATCCCATCTCCAATTCCACGGAGGATCGTTTCTCTCCCATGAAAGATACGAGCTCTAAGCGACGTTTCGCGTCTTGTTGCGCAGGAGGAGAGATCGGAGAACCGAACGATGAGCATGGTGGAGTTCGAGCCCGGCGTGGAGGACCACGGGAAATCGATCACCTGCAGAGCCGAAAATCCAAACGTTACGGGACTGTTCGTGGAGAAATCCTGGAAAATCGACGTCGTCTGTAAGTACACGATAAATATATATTCTATCGCTCTTCCCACTACGCCTTCGTTTCTGCTCGACCTTTTACGAGCGTACGTGACGTTAAATGCATATTCGATGATTCCCAGGCTCGGAACTTATTCCGCGTTCGGTCCACGAGGCCCTAATGCATGCATACGCGTCGCGATCGAGCGTCGTAAAACGAATAAAGCATCGGCTCGGCAAGCTATCCCTCGGCCTCATCTTCCGTCGAGCCGCATCGTGAAATCGGTCGATTTACGAGCTCTTTTTTACGTTGAGCACGCGCACCCTACCCGCCCCCGCGATGTTCCCCTTTTACAGCCGCCAATAAAACGGCCTCCGTCGGATTTCGAGCGAATTACAGCCGAAATTCAGCGAGACCGATCGTTGCGCACCTTCGCGGGACATGTTCGGTAATCTGGCCGATCGTAAAACAGCGGAAAAAATATACGCGTCATATGGAGGGACAGCTCGTAAAGCGGAAGTGGCCGTCAATGAATTCACCGGCTACGCCATTGTTGTCCTCCCCCGCTTATTATTCTCGCTCCGAGTTCTTTGCATAGAAAAATCCGTTTTATTTGTGCAAAAAAATTGACCACAGTTGTTTTACGACTTTGATCGAGTTTAACCGTTCATATTTTTAATTGCCAACGTATATTCTCTGATGACAAGTCCTCTCAATTCTATACTGTCGTGATTGACGTGGGCATTCAGTGTTTATTTTTGTAATTCGAGTTGCAAACGTCAACCTAATCCTCTTGGATTTCTTTTTGTCACCCTTTTCTCCCGTGCTCATCAAGTCCATTAAAAAATAGGCAAAGAGCGTCGCTTTTTACTGGGACGTATCTAAAATCGTACTATACGTAAAAACCGGACGATCGTCCGAGGGTGCGCCGCTGCACGAAATCACGCAGCCGTGGATATATGCTTTTTTTTACGAGATTATTTTTATTTATTACACCGGACGCACCTGCCGCGCGAACGGTGGCCTGTACCCTGGGCTGATGGCCAGCTCGATTTGTCGAGAGGCCGCAAAAATTCAGCAGCCTCTTTTCGAATCGAGTGACAGCGCGTCCAAGACGTTTCAAACAGTTCCATTTGCACTGAAACTTCATGCGTTCGATTGCCATACTTTCCTTGCCCGTTAGGAAAATAATTTTAAAGTAAACACGGTACTTAAGAAAACTTTGAACGTCGACGAAACTTCACTGTTTCGAGACTTTAAGTCTTCAACTAGTTTCCCTGAGCGTCTTAAACATTTTTCAATCGAAACGGTGTTCGAGGCGGTTCCGAACTTGCCTAACTTCGCGCGACTATATTACCTCGAAAACTCCGAAAACGAAAACGAAAGAAGGGAAAAACGCGCATTCCGTGTCTGTCTCGATGCAGGGAAACAGTAACCCCATCGGTTACCAGTCGATTTAAGTGGCAACCGAAAGGAATTGAGCTGTTGATAGTTTTCCTTGCCAGAGGAGTTCAACCGGACTTTAGACGAGAACCGCAAGGTAAATGAGAAAGACGAATAGTCTCAGCTGACTTTCGTCGAAGCGGAGACGAGCGAGATGGGTCGCTGGTCGGACGGTTTCTCGTATTTTACGAAAGGGCCGCGGGAACGGAGCATCGACGCCCCGAAGAAACAGCCTCGAGGAAGGTATTAAGAAAAAGCGCGAGTGCGCGGGAAATTACGTCACATCGCGTATCCAATTACGTTGACCGTCGCGCAGCATGGCCGGAATTACGCATTACCCCAAGAGTCCGTTACATCCTGGCTTTTTCGTGTCCAGGCCACGACATCCCCGTCCATACGGAGTCTCGATTCGCGAGAAACGAGGAAGAAAATGAAAAGGCAGCAGGAGCAGGACGGAATTTATTGCGATCCCGGACGAGGATCTTCGCCGTGGAAGAGCAGCGAAAAACAAGGGACAACAGGGAACGATGCAGCGAGGGTTCGGAGGCTTGAAAAAGCAACAACAGCGCTCGGGACTCGGGGGAGGGAGACGGTAAACGCGATCGAGCTAATTAATACTATCTCTCGACAGACTAGTACACCAGAGTCGAGGAAAAAGAAGGGACACACCGGAGAAGGGCAGAAATTTATCGTGCCGCGCGATAAAATCCAGTTAGAACCCTAGAAGAACAAACTCCTCGAGGAGGGAGCGGGATAAGAGCCGCCGCTATGATTAAACTAATGAAGACGGTAAATGAGAGGTACAAGGAGCGAAGAAAATACCGGGGTTGTTCGAGGGTGTGTAGCACCAGCTACGAAGTTCCTGCGCCGGGGGCAGAATTTTCGGGTCTGAGGTGAAAACGGTTGCATCCAGCTGCGGACGACCCTGTCGTCTCGCGAAATAAAGAACCTGCAGCCATACTCCGAGCTCCGACGTTGAGAACTTGCGCGCATTTGAATTGCCTCTTGCTCGAGAAAAAGACGGTACAATTCACTGGAAAACTAACTCCAGTTCGAAGTCTCAGGAAGTTCATCTAACAAGAAAGTCTTTAGCTCTCAGAGGTTTGAATTTTCTGCTCATACCATCATGGAGGTTCATCTCTAGCATTCCTAAGCCTGCTCGAAAAAATCGACCGAAATCATTTGTATTGCCTGTTGCTCGAGAAAAAGACGGTACCATTCACTGGAAAACTAACTTCAGTTCGAAATCTCAGGTAACTTCATCTAACAAGAAAGTCTTTAGCTCTTCGTGGTTTAGCTCTTTCCAATTTCCTGCTTGTACCGTCATAGTCCACTGGGGGTCTATCTCTATCATCCCAAAGCCTCGAAAAAATGGACTGAAATCTTCACCAAGAGGGTTTTTGATGGTTGCAGTTTTATTAGAGAAAAGGTGATTAACTCCAGGATAAAACCGTGAGGGAAATTCGCCGAGAGCATTGTTTCCAGAAGCGAACGCCGAAAGTATTTACAGATTAAGATAATTCCCCGGCATCGAGCGGGTCATATATCACCGTGGGAGAGATTCTGCGGTCGCTGAAGAATAGGGGACCGCGCGAACCGTCCACTCCGAGGACCTAAGGGGGACACAAATATTTCCTATCCGCGACACGGGACAGGTTGCCTCGCGCCCGACCCGAGCGTGTCTTAAGCTGGTATCCGGCTGATGAAATTCTACGAGGGTGGAGCCTACGGCGACGATAAAACGAACCTTAAGCCTTTCATCCCATTCCCCCCTGTACGAGGAAAAATAGGAAACGGTGGAGATGTCGCGTTTCGAACGATTTTTCCATTCGTTGACCTCGTTCCCGTTCGCTTTCAGCTCTCAATGATTTTGAATAATGAGACGCGAATAAATGGGAATTAAAGCATCGAGCTTCGAGCTTCGCAAATGCTTGGAAAGACTGGCCATGCGTGGATTTAATGTTATATCACACAAGAGAGATTGCGCGTATTTCCAAGTGCATTTAGTTTTCCAAACGTTAAATGGAAACTTTGCAAACTGATCGCTGACGATTCTATTTGCAGATCCTCCGATCGTGTCGCTGAACCTTGGATCTACTTTGAGCCCCGAGGACATCAAGGAAGGCGACGACGTTTATTTCGAGTGTCACATCAGGGCCAATCCACCCTGGTCGAAGCTGACGTGGATACATGACGTGAGTGAGATCCCTATTCGTCATGTAAACACTTAGGTGTCCGAAATTCAACTATTGCAATTATATTAGGACGACCAGAAAGCGATGTCTTACAATAAATTCAAACAAATACATTTATAATAAATACCTTATTAATAATTATTTGTAATAAATCCCAGTGAGCTGATAAATAATACACAAGTATTGACATTCGCAGAAACGACACTGCTTTCAGGTCCCCCTAATCTATCTCCTAAACTATCTCGTTATATAGGAACTAGATGCATACTTTAACTTATTATCCTGGCATAAACATCCCGTAGTATTATTAATCCAACGCGACTGGCAGACGCCATCTCGCGATTCCGAGTGTCGAAAGACGTTCCACGTGCGCCGAGCCCTCTCGTCGTAAGTTTCGACTGTTTTGCGACGGGAGTCAGTGAGACGTTTCTTAACAAAGTTACATTTTAGCATCGCGCAATTCTACCCCCGCGCGTCCACATTGTCGCAGCGACGTTATTAAACCCCTTGTATCTCGCGACGCGCAACACCGCGGCGCTATACAAATTCCCGTGCACTTGCCGTGTTACAATGCCTCGAGAACATAATACGCCAGATTCGCGGAGAAAAATCTCTCGCCCGGACAAAAAGCACCCGTAGCTCCCTAAATTTACAAGCAAGCCCCTCCGCGTTACAGGTAATTTACGCGACAACATCCGCGGCCGCAAAGAGACTCGAAGGGAAGCTCGCGCCAGCACCGTCGGCGTCGGTCTTATCCGCCGCCTCGTATTGATCACCGAGAGAAACTTCAAATCCTTTATTTGCATAATATATGAGCTCGTTCGGCAGGTGACACTGTCGCAGAGTGGAGAACTCGGCGTCGCGACAGAGGCAGATCGACGGATTTATGCTTCGAAACGATAAAACAGCCGCAAGGATCAAAACCGGAGAGTGTCTCGTTAGAACTTTTAATTCAGTCCCTTACAGTTCAGGTCTGCGAGTTTCAAAGCGAACGAAACCTATGGCCGCAAGTTTCGAATATCGTCGAGTAAGATATACCGAATAGAATTAATGGATCGCTTCATGGGTAGCTGAAAATTGCGAACTTTGAAGTTCTGTAATTTTCTGGCTTGGAGCCTCAGCTTTCGAATCCAATCGAGATGCGATGAGATAAGCAGTGGCAGCGCTTCAAAGCCGAGCCTAATCGCTTAGAATTCGTTAACCTTGACGGCATGCGCGGAGTTGAAAAAATGTCGGCAGTCTTTGAGCTCTGGCTTTTTAAAACGAGGGTAGGATTTTTGTCACGGGATTTGTCAGAATGTAAAATGGTACGCTGGGTTATCCTAGCTGTGGCACACAGAGGCTGTGGAATTTAATTTCTAGAAAAACTCGTGTAGTTCCAAAATAGCTTCGCAACATCCCCCATAAAATTACGTTTATTGAAGAACTTTGTCTAAATTAAACGATAGATTTAATATTTACAAATAAATGCTTCGTTATATACAAATAGACTTGACACGTTTATACACTAACAGTAAGAAATTAATTTGGAAACATTAAATCTATCGTTTAATTTAAACAAGTTTCGTTAATAGACCAAGATGGTACGAATATTTATTAAACTGTCTGTATATACTCTCATGATATTCCTCACGAAGGGCCAGGAGTTGGTCCTGTTGATGCATTATTCACCCGGATAATGGACTATCAGCGATCCATCTATTGAATAATACTAGAAGTTACGAGCGCGGTTTTCGTCTGAGAGGATTCCGCGGGCTTCCTATCGCCGCGATAGGGAACAGATGGGAATCCCAGTTTACCAAGAAGAAAGTTTGGTTGGGATTCGGCTTCGATTCGAGCAGGAAGAACGTTTAATCGAAGCGCGTGCGGGCTTATCCCTCTTCTGGAACTCGTTTCGGAGGCTCGCGTCGAAGTTCGCAGAGCAAAGTGTCGGCACACAGTGCATCGTAACGGTGGCCTGTGGAATCCCCAAAAATCTGGTGTCTCTTTTAAGGGCAGCTTAGCGCGAGGTTGTTCCGGTGACCAGAGATACGAGGATTTGTGCGTGTGTCGGTGAGCCGCGTTCTGGCTGCTCGTTACTCTCTTCTCTTTTTCCTCGTTTGCCTTAATCCCCGTGCCCTCCCGCCGTTCTCGTTCGCCCCGTTCTTTAGGTTTAGTCGGAGGATCTTTCGGTGGGATACGTGTCGTAGTTCACGTAGAATGCCGGCCAAGGAGACGGGCTAACGACGGTCGGGGCAGCAGCTGCTACGCTGTAAGAGATTCCCGTCGAAATTGCATCTTAAAAATATGATCCGACTTCATTCCGCGGAACCCCCGTTCCCTTCGTCTGGCCTCTCTTCTCCTCGTCGCAGACTTTTTCTTTTGATCGTGGCCCGCGTCTTCTAGCTTCTGCTCCGACCGTTTACGATCCACTGCCACCGTGTCCCGGGATTCCGACTTTTTCACGAGGTGTCCCGTCACGTTTCCACTCGATTCATGTCGACGCCGTAAAGCTCAACCCTGAAACGGCGTTGGATGAAACCTCGCGGAGTCGTCGCAGGGATTATTCTCCGGTTTGAGTATGCGCTGCTTCTGGGAAGTCTGGAGTAATTGTTGCGCGTCGAAGACCGTAGAAAATGGTGGCAGTCTTCTCGTTGGGCGTAGTTATTTTTACAACCAATATTTGCTTTCTCTGTGACGGAATATGAGCTAACAGATTTTAACACAGAATTCTAACGCGTTCTACGGTAAGTGTTTAGAGGATCACGAGCTAATTTACTTCGTAGATACAACCAATCTCCATAATTATTATCAAGCCAATGGTGATGAACGCACGCGGAGGCCACCGGTCGCGCCGATGGCTTTCATCGAACGCGCACACACGGGTTCGTCGTCCTCAAAGGGTTAATTTCCTTCTCGCCAGGTGCCTCGAAATACGAGCTGTCCACGGCCAAGACGGCGAGCACGCCGAAAACGTATATCTCGATAGCTCCCTCTCGCTCAATTAGAAGGGGGTTTGCCTAGGAAGTACCGGAGCTCCGTTACCACGTTCTATCTGTTAATCAATCCCAAGGTAGCAATCGGGTCCGGATTCCGAACTGTCGGACTTAAAAAAACGCTTCGAGCCATTGCCGGCGGCAGTAACCTTCCGAATGGGCGATCGTAAAGGCGAAGAAAGGCCAGCGAACGAAACGAGGAGATGAGAACCAGCTGGGGTTGAAAAAGGAAGCTGGAATAAGGGTTGACGATGAGGATGGCTCCGCGAAGTAAGGAAAAAAAAAAAGAGAACGCGGAGATATACCGTCTATAATGGGGTACAGTGATTAGGCTGGCTCTGCCATTCACGAGGACAATAGAGACGTTCTCTAGATACGAAGTATCGACGAGCCAATCGGCCTTGGCCAGGAGAAAGATTCATCCGACTCTTCATCTTCTCTGAAAGTGGATCGGCCGACTAGACAACCGGAAGAACCCTATTAATGTCCTCTGGGTCCGACTAAATACAAGGGGAGAGATCAAATGCTGGAGTGGCCAGAATAAAATTGGGTACTCGCAGGGTTGTTCGAGTCACTTGGCAGTTCGCGAAGACCGTAAGAAACGAGGATACATCGTACATGTGGTGCGATGATTCCATTTTATCTCAGATTTCCTACGCGTATCTTCTTATTCGATCACGTCTAAGCTCCGATGCTCCCGAAAGAATGAAACTCGTCACCTCCCTCGGGTCTGTCTCGAGAATTCCGAGTTTCAGGGAACAGTGATCGATTCAAGGACCGATCCCGCGCGGATTCCAACAGCGACAGCGTGGCAATCGCGAGATCGAATATCCTCGAGAACCGTGGTCCAAGTCCGTCGTGTGCGAAGCGAACGCCTCCAAGTTAGCGATATTACAGTGGAGCGAGGGGCCGCGGGAGCGGGGAACCTTTAAATTTCACACGCTCGTGACGTTATTTGATTTTGAAGTTGACGTTATTGCTTCTGTACACCGATGATCGGTCGCGAAACGGAGGCGAGGGTAATGGGATCGCGCGGAATGAATCGGCCGAGTGCGTTTCCTTTTCTCGGGGGTTCGATTCGATCCGACAAGTCGGTGGACTTAATGCAAAGCTCGATGGAGTCGAGGACGAGGAGAGGTTTGCGATTCGAGTCTACGAAACGGGGCGGCGGATTCGGCGGGCCGTACATCAATCAATTTCACCCCGAGTCGCGATCGGACTGGCGTGCCGGAATTCCGCTTAAAGTCGCCGCCTCCGGATCGAGGCGAGCGGAACGCTTCGTTTCGCTGGAATCTCGCGAACTCACGTTGGGAGATAAGAGGGTTACGGGGAAATCGAAGCAAATAACCGTCCCACGGTCAACTGAGTTCTTCGAGTCATTTGATCTTCGACCCCATATAAGACCGAAGAAAATCTTCGCCAGGTGCTAACTCGTGATTATTGACCATTCCGACAGAAGGCAGTCTGCTGGCCAAGTGTCGGACCAGACTCAGGGAATTTTTTATTCTTTCTGAGACTTTACGCTATATACACCGTCGTTCATAAATATGCAGACACTTACTACCTTCGATGAATAATTAATATACACCGTAAATTATTACCATACAACTTTTGTTGCTAAATTCCATATTGGATTTAACAATATTTAATAATACTAAATGTCTCGAGTGACATATCCAATTTTACAGTGGAACTACAAAACATTTATGACGAGCTATTACATAATAAATGAGGTAACATTACTTCGGATACAATGAAGAAATTGATAGTATCCAAGTTTGGTAATTGGACGGAGTTCAATCTACAAGGATTTAACGCGGTTTAAGTAAAAATTTTAATAGAGATTCCACTGTACCTGCCGCCTCGACGAGGAACACCAGTCGATAAAAACCAAAGCGATCGATCGATTTCCCCGCTTTTCCCTCGCGCAAAGTTTCACGAAGATGAACGTAATACAGTCGAGCGAAGTTTCTCGCCGGTTGTTTCATATCCTTGTCGCTTTTTTCCGCGTTCGTCGTCAGCGAA